CGTATGATCATGCACGGCTTAGTGGACTCGCAGACCTCATCAGCACTACATGGGAGTACACTCCCCAGACGCATGCCAGATGACAAAACCCGCTCAGATGCAATCACACATCGTTTTATGGTATCACGAGCTCGACAGGGGGATCAGCTCAAGCGGTGGGTTGCTCATCATTCATTTATCTACTATCAACTTGACTACAGGACCTCGCAACTCCACCGACAGCCCTCGCTGTCACATCGCCCGTGGCAGGCAGACCGCTGCCACCACTCAAGGCTTTATCAGAGCCTCCTAAGCATGTTCATCAAAGACTGTATCCTGAGGAAAGTGTCGCTAGCTTGATGAGCCGAGGGCTCGGAAGTCCGCTGATGAAAACGGATCTGGTTGGTACCTTCTGCTCGATTCACCAGCCGAAGTGGCTGCGCTTAGCGATTACTTCACAGCTTTTCGTATCATTAGTATTTCGAAAATAGGTTAATAACAACAACCTTCAATACTACGGAGAGGTTCACATCGGAGATCCACCACAGAGGTTCCTAGCGATATACGATACTGGATCAGAGAAGCTCTGGGTACCCGGCGAACGGTGTCACGGCGAGGCTTGCATTCATCATCATAAGTAGGTTACCAACACTACTCGTGTATCGAGTAGCATCTAACAACATCATCGATCTTCTGAAACATAAATAGCAGTGGAATAGTACAGCGAAAGTTTCGCTGCAAAATCTTATCCATTTATCGCCATTTCCACTGCTTCCTGCAGATTTCATCCAGTCAAAAGCCAGACTTTCAAGCAAAGCATTGGCGGCGAGCGCCGCATGACTTATGGCACTGGGGAGGTATGCCGGTTGCCAATGCATAACGTCAGGCTACCGCCAGGTTCGCTTCAGAGAAGGCAAAGACACAATTCGGCTGCAATAATGCAGCCAATGCAGTGACGATGAAGATACTGGGAGTAATTGAATACAGATCGCGGCCACTAGCTTGACGCTAGAGGATCTGAGAACACAGTTAGGGGCACTAGAAAACACACAACACAAGTTTGTGTCAATTATCTCCTCGTATATGAGCTGGCTGGTGTTGGCAGCCGCTATAGTGTATTTGCTCATCACACAAACAATGGTTATGAGGGAGTACACTTTGGTATCGTATGTTATAGACCATCGCACTGTCATTGTTCAGTTGAACGAGTCCTTGGCCGCAGCCAATCGTGAGCTGTCTGCATTTCTGGCTGGTAGGGGGTTCCAAAGTGACGGAGAGGATCTGCAAGCATTGCGGTGAGCCGCCAGGACAGTGTTGGGCCTGATTGTACTGGTGTAATTTCGCAATACACAGTCATCAGTAATAGCTACATAACTGTCTCATAGCTGACGTATTGCTATCCACCCATATGTATATAGCAACACTTTTCTATCTATCCCATCCTATCCTAATCGTTGAGTAGAGTAGGGTGGTGGTCTCTTCAGGGGAGCCGTTGAGGATCAGTACAATACCAACGCTCAGCTTGAGAGGGAGTTAGAGCAGGTTAGAGGAATGCTTGAGGACGAAACTGAGGTGAGCTGAGCTCAATGTGGGAAAATAAGTATATGATGGGTTATCAGCTTATCTATACCCTATCAACGTTTCAGCTCAATAACCCGAAAACTTGACGGGATATATGAATTTCTCGAAATCATATATAGATTTGTACCAGTATTAATAAAAATATTATACGATGTGATGCCAAGGTAAGAATTGGCTTGTTATGCACGTGTTATTGACGATGAGGAAATTCTACCCCAAGTCGTGCCTGAATGATCGCAATGCAGTGGGGAAACTCCCGAACTCATCTGAGGGAACTAAACGTATAGTCCAGTCTGGTAGTCGTTCAGCGTGCGGAGTCAATCGAGATTGAGCTGCAGACGGGGCAGGAAGAGTGCACGGTCATGCATGCGGAGGTGACGGCGAAGACGGCTACC